GGACACAGCTGAAGTGAAGAATACGTAAATGAATCCATTACTCCGACAGATCACTTACACTTCTTTGCTGCTTATTTTCACTGTTGTTTGACCGACTGTAACTACTGCTCTGACTGCTTCTGACTGCCATACGACACTCTCCACCTCGAAAACAGCAGCAAAACCGAGAAGAAACTTGTACACTGAAGCTGTAAAACATACCAAAACAAAAGTAAAAGGTAGATTAACTTATGATGATGAAAAAAAAGCAAAAAACAAAAACATGTATATTTGTAGAAGTTTCCTTAGTTTCATGTTCATGTTTTCAGTTAACCACAGTATTTTTTAGACTGAAGTAATACAATTATTCTATCCATATCTTGGTTCTGATCTGTAGACCGTTGTGGCTGAAGTACTATAGTAGCCACCTAAAAACAGATCTCCTGCTATTGCTATTTCTGTTACTGTTGCTACAACAACTACTATCCAAACACGATATGAAATAGTGCTGTGAAGATGTACGCCCATGTTTATATTATATTAAGATGAGCTGTAAGACACACCCAAAACTAAAGTAAAAGATTCATTCATGTATATTTGTAGAAGTTTTCTTAGCTTCTCAGATTTTTGCTATTTGTGTTTATTTTTATGTTTGCAATCAGCATTTTTAGTATTATAGTATTTTAGACTAATAAAATGGTTCTGATCTGAATTAAGTAGTGTATAAAAACTACTACTACTCCTATTGCAGTTGCTATTTCTGTTACTGATTGCTACTACAACTACAAACAAACCTGATATGAAACCGGCCTATGAAGAAGTACTACACCTTACTTAGCCTTAATAAAGCATGAACAAAGATTTAATTAATAATGATTCACGCTTAGTAAATGCTTAATAAAGCATAATTTGTCTTCACTTTAGAAAAGCTCTCAAAAAGACTTAACTAACAGATAACAGCTGCCTGAATTATCATTGCATTGCATTATTAGTAAATCATTCTCTCATAGCTTACTAATGATTAATAAATGCTCAGATGGTTAGTCCATGAGTAATTAAGTATGAAATAATTATGAGTAAGTTAAGTGCAAGTGCTAATTAAGGTAGTAATTAAGTAGTTACTAAGCGTGAATCATTATTAATTAAGTCTTTGTTCATGCTTTATTGAGGCTAAATAAGGTGTAGTTATTATAAAGTGTTACCCCCTTATTTATATTAAAAATAAAATAAAAAGTATCTGGTTACTTTGCCCCCATGCGTGTGTGCAGTGAATTATATATACATTTTAGACCTAAAATGTCAGCTATGAAGAACTGATTAAAATTGTTTTTAAGTTTGGCCAAAATATTCATCATTACTCCAAATCTGATGGGGCACTAAGCGGCGACTGTATTTTGGTTTGATATCATCGCACTACAAAAACACAGACCAAAACAAAACAATAATCAACGTAACATAAACAGTGAACTCCTTTATTTTGTTTGTTGAATTTTTTATTTTTTTTTTTGTGAGAAATGTTTTGACCTTGACTTTACATGTTAGTTTGAATATGGCTTTACACTGATACACTTACGAGCATTAGCTGACAAAGCTGGGCAGATCCTAGCCCAAACAAACCAGGATGAAAGCTTCTTTGATGGGGGGGCGGACGGAGTGACTTCAACACTTGGACTCAATTGTTCACAGCTGAGGTTTCTCTGGGTGGTTTCACTTCAAGCTCCAACCGAAAGTGCCGGAACAGAATTCACGTCCCGATTTCAAACCACAACCTCACCAATATTGAAAAGTATCGCCTTGCGCTGTACTGATAGTGTTGTAGTGATAAAGTAAATACAATATCATTAGATTTAAGATTTTTCTTAATGGTGCACTGTTTAACTTTTCCAGTGAAGGGCTCATTAAATATTTTTCTCCATGGATATGCTGTTGCTTTGTCTAGAATGTTTCACAGTGTGGTATTAAACCTTTCTATCTTCATGGAGACCAAACCAGACCACATTACAGATCAAATCAAATCTGTACAGAGGCAACTCCACTCACTGCCAGAATGTATATTATTCTAGGTATTTTTAAGCTATAAAAACACCTGTAATTTAATAAATGTATGATAGAGCTGTTGTGGAACATTCCAGGCAGAGTAGTGACATATCCATAGAAAAAAGCAGGTGATGGATCCCAAGGGAAAAAGTTACATAGTGCACCTTTAAATTTTGGTGACCTTTATCATTTTACTTTGATTATTTAAAAATACTGTAGATGCCTTTAAAAAAAATGGTATAAAGCATCATGTTTTGAAAGATATAGAGCTCTGGAATGAAAGAATAATGCATTTAATTTTGTTTGTTTTATTTATTAATTTTATTAAGTTTGTTTTTTTTCTTGGAATTCTGTCATTGTTTAATAGGGTTAGGCATTATAAGTACCTTTTACTTCAGCCTAAACCCTTTCAGTCATGATCTATGGGATTGTAGTCTATGTTTTGTTTTGCTTTGTTTTGTAGTGCTGCAAAATGACCAAATAAACTACTACTACTACTACTACTACTACTACTACTACTACTACTACTACTACTACTACTACTACTACTACTACTACTTTCTGGTTTGACATTGACATCAAATATATATCATACGTAGAAGTAATTCCATAACTATTACCTTGCGACCTTAATGTTAACAATGGACAAAAATTGCTAAATTGTTTTAATTAGACTAATGCAAATTAATGATAACGTCTTTATTTTGTTACAGTTTTACCTGCTAGACAAAAGCCTTACTTGGATGTAAATTGCCAGTGCTGGAATTTTTGGTGTTCATATTCCATTTTAGGACTGTATTTTTGTATTTTAACGCTCAACCATCACTGATGTAAAACTATGATATGTATCAAATATACCAAAAGAAGTACATTTTTTAAAAACAAGAAAGGTTGTCATATGCACTTTAAATATTCGTCCGAAAATCTGACTGAAACTAGGTCTTTTAGCTGATCACACATTCCAGCTGATCATAGTTGTGTGTGACGTTTCAAAGAGGATTATGAGAATGAAATGTGATAAAAGTATTTCCACGTGACCTGGGAGCACTTGACCTCAGATGGGCCAGTGGAGCCAGCGCAGAGTCAGAACATGGACACAGGCATGGGCTGAACTGGACTAGTGTGAACCAACCAAGAGTTACACTTAATAGTAAATACTAAATATATCTACAGATCCGTTCAGAGTATACCCCGTACACCAGTCCATTTAGAGTGTGGAAACTGTATTGACTGTCACAAGAACAATACATATTTCAATTTTAAAAAAAGTAAAATATAATTAAATTACTGATATTAAATACTGCAGTAAATTAAGTTAAATTATTGTTATTTACATTAACAGGTGTATCCTTTTTGTTCAGTTATGAAATACTCCAGAGGGAAATAATATTTTTAAATATATAGAAAATTAAAGTAACTAATAATTTAGACCAATACAGTATAACCACCTTTGTGTAGTGACCCATCTGCAGCTTCAGTGCCTTCTTAAATTTGGTTCAATATAAACCCAAAATGAACTTGTGCTCTTTCTTACTGAGAATCAGACATCTTCATATAACACTTTGTAATGATATATTACTTTAATGCACCAATAACATTTGTAAATGAATGGATTTAAATAAATGTAAGGCTTTGGAAAACATGCTTCCAACAGTCGTAGATACATCATGAATTTAGTTTAAAAGGGCAGGTCAAAAATGTAAACATACATAACAATGAACCCAGACATAACTTTTACTTCTCTTCAAAACTCCCTCCAACTATGAATAAATGTGAGTGCACTTGTAAGTTGTGGCCAACATAAATAGTTTTATGAGGCTGAACATGTTGACAAAGCAGGCATGGCTCATTGGGGTTTGATGGATGGCTGTGTGTGCTGTGCTAATTATTAGTACACATAAAAGGATGCTGTTATTTCCAGGACCGGCCCGGCAGCAGCAGGCCCCAGCCGAGGGGTCACCATCAGTCTGCGACTATATCACTCAATCTTGATGTATGAGCAAAGAGGTACAAATTAAACGGGCTTCGACCTTCTGGGGGTACTGCACTCAACAGGATGCCATTTGGGCTAATTCCTGCATGGGGTCCAGACAATAGGCCACTATACCACATGTGTAATTACTGCGTGTACACACATCTGGAATTAAGCTCTCTGTGGAAGTTAATATACTGAAAAGAAGGATTTGCGATTTAGTATGAGTAGCTACAATAAGTGGAAGGATTCATGCGTGTGAACAGTGAAAGTGCAAAGAGGAGTGTAGATATTTTAACTAAAATAGTTTTCAAAAGCTTTTTAAAATTTTCTTTATTTTATCGGTTGTTGATTATTATTAGAAGTACATGATAGAGACTATTGGTACTGCAAACGCAGTATTAGTAGATTCTCGAGTAGCAGAAACACCCTCGTATTATCGACAGATGCAGCTGTAGTGTGTAGTCTAAAGCCGTGATAGTAAAGTATTGCAGTATACCATCTATATTTCTACTTTTTCACGTTAAAAAGTAAGTATGCTTAACACCACAACACTAAAGTAATAAGAGAACTTTGATCATACAACTCATTAGATGTCAGCCTTAAATTCCAGCCATCGTGCCCATAGCAGTGCAGTGTATCTGTGTGTGGTTGTGACATTTTCTGGTCTTGGTTTTTCTGGTCGACGTGATGAGTTGTTCAGGCTACACAGAGACTGCATCAGCGATAAAGATTTATTACTATCGACCCAGAGCTTGAGACTCACATAAGATGCACATAATGGAAAATACTCCTCAGTTTTAATCACCATGTCAGTAAAACATCAGTAAAATATCCTTCCTAAGAAGTTCGGTTACATTCAGTACTGAATATTTAGTACGAATGTGAAAACAACTGCACTAAAATACTGATAGGTCAAGTATTTGGAAACTCAAGTACAAATATTTATAACTTTATTGATAGTTTACTTGTACAAGATGTACATTCATATTTTGTGAATCAAAAGGGGAAAACAAATGATACAATGGTTCATGTTTAAGCATGCTTGCAGGTGAAATGGTCATTACTTTGATATGGGTACAACGAATTCCATGGAGTATTGTTCAATTCAACCATCCCTGAAATGTTTGTAAACGTGGACACGCTACATTATAGGCCGACAATGCACTACAGCCACACCTCCTAATTTAAATTCATCACTTAAAAAAACATACAAAAATAAATGCAAAGCCATGAAAAAAATGTACACTTGTATTTCAACTATTTCATCTTTCATAAACTTTCAGACAAATCAATAAATAAAACACCAATATGTTTAATTTAAATGGAGACATAGAAACAATTCTAAATGGAGGAAGTTGTTTGGACACCGTTTGAACTCTGCAGACTTTATCGACATGGTCAGCGCTGCTCGGACAGCAGAAGCAAATCATTGTCTAATTGAGTTTATCTGGGTTGGAACTATTTAGTAAAGTACACTCTGAATTATTGGAAAAATCAAGAATGACATGTGACATATAACATGCAAGATCATATTGTAAACAACGGTTTGGCTTGGGTTACAGTGCTAATTGTATTTCTAAAAATGTTTCACATACCCTAAATATCTGCAGCATCCGAAAGTGTGCTCAGGTCTTCCTCAACAAGCAACAAAATGTACCTGATGTTCAGAAATCTGATTCAAAAGAGGCTTGGCACCTGGTTTTTAGCGCTTTTTTCAGCAAAATATACACTTGGTGTGTTTTGCAAAGAAATCAACACTCCAACAGTGCATGAAAGTAATGATCATCATTGGGTTCCCATTATTGAGGATTAACTGCTTTGTTTTTACTTTTTGCTATTTACAGTATTGCACTTAAAACTGCACACCATCGCATTTCAGTTTGACTGATGCATTCCTCAGAATTAGAAAAAGAAACATGTATTTAAACCCTTTATCCAAGTTAACGTCCTTTTTGAGGATCACATGACAATATCAAACCCCACCCCCCTTCAATTAGTAAAGTAGTATCTGCATGTAGTGCCATTGGTAAACAACACCCACATACAAGAGCTGAAGTGCAAAGGCTATCTTCACTTCTTTACCCAGGACACAACACAATTAACAGAGACCAATGCCACGAGGAGGAGTCCTGTCTTTCCCTCTGCCGCACACAGAACAAAAAAGTTGTTGCTTTTTTGAGTCCAGCAGGAGGAAAATCAAACCATAATGAGAGCATTCACTTGTAGCTTTAGCAGAGTGGAGAGCGATGGCAGTGTTAAAAACAGCTTTATGTCGGGGCGGGACATAGGGCAGTCCCAGCGGTCCTCCTTTAGCGCTCATGCACTCAGCAGCAGCAGGGAACACAGTGGTTGGAGACAAATATGGCCTTTTTAACACAATTTTCGGTTTTGTATTTAGTGAGTCGGGGTGTCTTGGAGAAGTGGTGTGTGGACCTGTTTCCCCCATACTCAACCCCTGTGCACTGTCAATATGGCGGCCTGGTTAGCTTTAGTTCTTCAGGTGGACCGGCCTCAGACAGACATCCACATGTGTTTGTACGGTCCTGGGGATGTGAGCTGTGCCTGGAGTGGACTGAGCCACTGGCCCCGCAGAAGTCCTGCCTGTTGGGCAAAAAGTACAAGGTGATTTCATTGGTATTTCATTACCGTTCTCTACAAGTGGTTTGTTTTGGCAGCTGGTTTTGTGACAATTTTGGCTCCCTCCTTTTATTTTCTTCCTTCTCTGTTCCTCCCCCTTCTCCCCTTGTGTCTGTGTCCTCTCTTTCATGCTCACTCAGTGTTTTTGTTTAGTTTAGTTTTAGCTGTGAGTGTAGCCCTTCACAGGCCAGTCTGGTGTGAGAGGGGCGTCAGGCGAGCGGAGGAGTGGCCCGCGGCCGTCAGAGTCCCAAAGCCTCCGTGTGTTTCCTTGCCTTGAGTCGCAGGTCGGCGATACTGGAGTTTTTGCTGTTGCTTTTGGCTGCTGCTGCCACCGCCGCTGCTGCAGAGGCCGAGTCAGCGAGGGAGGCGATTGGTAGTCCAAAGGGAGGGGGCGGGAACATCAGGTAGGGGGCGTGTGCTGCCAGGTGAGGGTGCAGGTGGGGGTGTGAGTGTGTGACTCCGTCCAACTGCAGCTGCGCCTGGACCTGCAGATACACACACACAGTGAGAGCTCGACCTCTGCCTTGAGCCAGAGCAGAGTTTAGGTTTCACATGTGACACTATTACCTTGGCCCTCACGCTCTACCCCCTCTGAGCTGGGGCCTACTCACTGTTTTCTAACCAAACAGATCAGGCTGCACTCACAACTCCAGCCCTTTTTATGTCAGCCATTCGAAAACTTAATGAATCATAGATTTCTCACACACTCCACATCCAGTTTCAGCGCTTACATTCTTTTAAAATCCATTACAGATTTGTTTAATTCTGACTGAAGTCATACCCTCGAAAATACGCAGTCTTGTTATTCTGATTATGTATTCAATTGCATAAATAAACTATTTTGCTCTACAAAGATATTTAATATGTGGGGTTAAAAATATTAATTCAGACACATCCCTGAATCAAGTGGAAAGGGCTGTATGAAGCATAGATCAGTTTTTACAATCTTGTCAACTATTTTATGACTACATCTGAAAAAAAAGGCATTGCTCCCTTCAGACAGAGAAATAGAGTCAATCAGCGTTTCTTGAGCAAATAAACACAGCATATTGTCTAATCTAAATATTATTTTTTCAGGTGGCTTAGTTTGAACCAAAAATATAACTTTCAAGTGAAATGGAAAATTACATAGAAACCACAAATTGCTGTTGTTTAGTTCTGCATCCGAACCTGCCCCTCCAGCACAGAATCAGGTAACTAAATACAGCTGTCGTCTCTGTGTGCATGCGATATTAAAATGCAAACTGCACTGGATGGAAAACTAAATTAACTTTGTGAAACTTGATTTGGAGTGTAATTTTAATCTGGTCCGAAAGTGATCTGCTCTTGACTGAACAGGTGGTGGACATTTGCCAAATTACAGCTTCAGATTTCTTTATTTCATCCTCACACACACACACACACACACACTCTGCTAGTGCATATTTACTGCTTTGCTGGAGTGTGTTTGACAGCAAAGGCAGTCACGAAAGGGCATTTTCAACATTTAGCTCATTGAGATGCAAGTCATACCCCGCACCAACCCCTTCCATTTTTTCCGTTCGCTGGCCTTATATTTCTAACATTGCATTCTACCACTGCAGCGTGTCTGTATGCAGGCCTCCTCCCCTGCCAGAGCCGCTCAATGCCAATATGCATCAGGGCCCACTCCATTCTGCGCTTTCATCATCTCTTTTATGTGCCCGTGCCTGCCGCTCCATTGGCTTAATTAGGCCATTGCTTTTCACAGGGGTCAAGCAAGCAACACTGCGTGCAGGATGTAAAAAGGCATACATCACTAGATCAAATGTCCGGCCATCTCCCTCTCCTGCCCAAACACTCGCCACTGCCTGATCTGACCTCAACCATGAACGAAGCAGGTGAAAAGTGTAATAAGGTTTGCCATAGTCTCTGTACCACAATCTGGATAGCAAATATGTTAATAATATGAACAAAAAGACTCAAATCGACTAGCCCCGGACAATGCTACAACACCTGGCCAAAGTTAGCAAAGGGTAGCGGAAACATGAATTAGAGGAAATTGATTATCATAATAGCAAGCCAAGGAATACATCAGGAATCTGTCTACCAAAAATAGTCTTAAATCCCAGCGCAAAACTATAATTATATGAACAATGTTGACAGCTGAAATCAAGGCTTTCGTAATGATTTTTCAGAATAGTTTTAGACATTTATTACATTACATGAATAAGATATCAATTCCCAGTTGGTTTATTTTCACTCTTCATTACAGTCTTTTGTCACTATATTTCTTGTGAGAGATAAATAGTTAAACATTTTGGTCAGAATAGCTTTTGAGCAGCCACATAACTTTCAGTAAACAGTAAAAATAGCAGCTCTAGTTTGACATTTCGCACATACTATTTTTTGTTTCAACATTTACACTTGCTGAGTTATCACTTTCCCCACAAAGGCCACATATTCAGCAGTGTATTTTAGACTGTACAATGTGCAGTAATCCCCTCTATAATGATCCCAATGACTGTATGTTTTAGGTGTCAGAGGCGTGTCACACTGGAGCAATAAAAGAACATGGCCTACCTGTTGGAAGGGCATCCGAAGGGCACCCATATTGACATAAGGTGCCACCCTGCAGGCGTCTAGGTGGCTGCCACTGCCCAAAATAACACCTGGGGAGAAGGGAAAGATGTCTGTCAGACAGCCAGACAGTTGTTGTTATGTGAGATGAGGAGGTCACAATTTTCAACACATATTTGAAAAAAACGGTCAAGTAGGCTACTGTCAGAATTTGAAAACTGAAATAGGCCTAAAAATGACAAATCTAATAATAAACTGACTTTATACGTGCGAGAAAGAAGAAGGAAGTGACATTTACCTTTGTGCATCTGATTCTCTTGTTTTCGACATTTTGCTCTTCTGTTCTGAAACCAAACCTAGGAAAATCAAAAAATGAATAATTTTAGTCTTAATAATGACAAGTAAAACCCCATTAATTGTTTTATTTGTCAAATATAGAGCAGTAGCTTGTAGAAATGTTATGAGCCAATTTATTTTCTCATATATTATTTGAATGAATTATCTAACAATTGAAACTTAATTGTTCAGAAGTGCGAGTGATTGTATTAAATAAGTTATGTATATTTCTTTTTTTAAAAACAAAATTAAAAACTAACCAAAATTATTTACATATGCTATTTAATCATAATAGTAACAGTGCTATAACGGCATCAAAACACCACAGAAATCGTGGAGATTAATTGGATAATAATATCTCAACCATAACCTCCCTTTCCTTTCTTAACCAAGCCTCAGTTTGTTGCGCGTCTTTGAACTTGCTCCTGCACTTCTCTGCTGCAGGCTAGGGCCCTATTGTTAATCATCATCAACCTAATTTGCGTCGGTGAATAACATTATCTCCCCTCCCCTTCGACCCTGCAATGATTATCGTGTACAGATGCAGAATTAGCGGCGACTAGGACCACAAAGGGCGCCTGCTGATGACGGTGCTGACGGTAATGACGACTCGAGGTGATGCCATAAACCCATATTTAACGGTGAGGGGCACGTGCGACCGTAAACGTTTTTTTACTTATTCTAATTATCACGTGGGAGGTTTTGATTAGAGTCCTGTCTATCAAAACATCAGCCAGCCCAGACTTAGACGTAGAAACTGGGAGAGGTTTCCGTACGGGCCTTCTATACGTTACGCACAGGCTTCTATGCATTACGCACAGGCTACAACAAGCAAAAAATACAAATAAAATAAAATGCAAATCTTAGAGCATGGATTAGATTTTCATTTCATTTTAAATCGTGGGAAAATATTGAGAATTAATATTTAGTTGATTAGTGGCGTATTGATTATGGTGCGGTTGTGACAATAGGCTATATAACCTGTAAAATTATAATAATAATAATAATAATAATTATTATCATTATTATTATTCACTAACGACTGTTTAAACAATATTACGAGACGTGTTATTGGCAGGTGATTTTACATAGACGGTAACCATTCACATAAATCAGGTCTATATTAGCCGGACCCGGATCAATTCCAATTACGCGCCAGTATGTTAAGCAAAGTGAACTACACTGGTTCAGACAGTTATTTCTTCATTAAGGGCCACTCAATGATGCGCTTCACAAATACCCTAATCTCATTTCCTTTTTGATTTTTTATTAGAGACAGTGAATAATGACATTTAATTTAGCAGTGCGCCAGAAACCCAGTGATATTAGTCCTAACCAAATTACTGCCTGCTCCTCACCAAGCTCTCATAACTTTCAATTAGATTCATTGACAGCTGCTGCGAGCGCGTGGTTTACAGCCTGCTACAATAACTCGTATAGGCTACCATTCTGTAAAACAAAACAAAAACATACACTCGAACCCTTTCCACGCTCCGCCGTTAAGTGCCCTCTTTCTTTACAAGAACGCGGCAGACTTTTACGCGAACACTTTACACACTTGTTAAGCCTTTATGCCCTCTGTTAACGCCACCTAACACAGCCTACTGAACCTAATATACACGCTTTAAACTAAATTTTGTATAATTGTCGCGCGTATCCAAAGTGCACCCTGACAATACAGTGTGCTCCACGTGTCAATCGCTGTGACCATGAAGCGCAATATGATGGCTTTTATTCATCCTATTATGGCCGAACAGCAGCAGAGTTGGTCCGCAATTGAGTTATTTCTAATGCGTTTTTATGGAGACACTACATCAAGCCAATGGCAGATATTACAAAGAGAATGAGAAGGGATACGAGTTGACATAAGAGCGCGTCCCCTCCAGCAGCTTTTCGGGCTCTTCATTCATTTTCATCAACGGGTGGCAGTCTGGCCCCTAAGGCTGCTGATGAAGGGAGTGGGTAGGCCTATAGACCCCAACTGGCAATAGCCAGTAGACAAACTTTACTTATATACATATATAACATTTATAATTAATTAATCTGACGAGAACATTGTATTAAAAAATAAAGCGTATGAGGGCAATACCACAGCCTGTAGACTAGTCTATTTACAAAAAAGTCAGCAATTATGATAATAAATATTACAAATGTGGACATAAGGATATAAAGGATATAAAGAAATTAACTAAAACGTTTAAATATTTACATTTTGTTTTATCAAAAGGGAAATAATTATTAATAGGGAAATATACAACGCACCATTTATTGCATATAAATGTGCAATAAGTGGTGCGTTACGTGCGTTTGTTTTCAAGAACAATTAGGGTATGAAATAGGCCTATTTATTTTTAAGTGTGTATCATTGCTTTATTTGATCTTAAACTTCTTAAATGTGCCTACATAGACATGATAAAGGACTGCTGAACACTGGAACGCCTTTCTGAAGTATGTGAGAGTAAGTGGACAGTACTGACCTGGACCCTGGCCTCGGAGAGCCCCAGCCTTTGGCTCAGCTCCTCTCTCATGAACGCGTCCGGGTAGTGCGTCTCATCAAAGAGCCGCTCCAGCTCGTTCAGCTGCTCCAAAGTGAAGTTTGTTCGGCTTCTTCGCTGCTTCAGCTTGCCTTGTGCGTCCTCGTCCTCCGACTTTACGTCTTCCTTTTTCTCCTTACACTCGTATATCCCTGTTTGGGCGCGCGTGTTGAAAGGAAAATAGAATGCGTATTAAACACAAGAAATGTTATAAACAAACTTACAAACACCAGTGAACACGTCTGGTCTGTATATTGGGCCCTCATTGGGGCCTGGCATTTGGCAACACATAACACTGTCCACCGGCTACACATTGACTAGTCCAGCAGGCCTGTGCTTCTGACAACAGCCTGCTCCATGCAGTCGGTGTAATGTCAGTGCCATAAGTGGAGCAGATCAGTCAAAGCAAAGCATGCTACATTTACAGAGTGAAATCCACACAAACAGACTGGGCCTAATTACTCTGCTGCTGCAGTGGCTTATTTTAGGTTACAAGAAAAGACTGGAAAGACATATAATGTATTTTTAGCTTTTACATCAAAGCGCACTTAATTTACGCGCAGAGCTCCTACCGCAGGCTATACTGTATGTTATATGATTTTGATGTGCATGTGGTGGGCTCTTATCTGTGTTTATTCTTGGTAACACCCTGACAACTGACGCAATTACAGCCATGTGCACACAGTTTCTACAGTTTGTACATGGTGAACACTATAAAAACTCAACATTTTAAAATGGCTTATACAAGTTGTGTACACAGTAGGTCAGAGTTTTTACACTTGCAGACCATGTAATATCTTTCATATTCAATTGTTTTTGTAGAAAATAATTGGCATGTAATGGCCTAAAGTTTCTTGGAGTATTTAAAATATCTATTCTAATATTTAAAAAAAAAAATAGTGCCAAATTACGCAGCATTTATCTGTGGACTACCTTTTTAGTTTCCTTCTGTGTTGCATTATTTAGGTAGCCTGACGGTAGTTCTCCCTTGGCTGCAAAATATTTTAGCATTAGCTTAGTGCAGCCCACATGAAACTAAATATCTTATATAAAATAAAATCTGAAATGTATTCAAACATAATCATTGGCATAAGCATCAAACAATATAAATATAGCTTATGTTTGATTATTTGCTTAAGAACCAAGACTTTTTATTCCTTTCACACTAAACAAAACAGTTACACGACTCATTTTTAATCTGTTATTTTATGTGGATAATAGCATTTTGTGTTCTCATTTCTGTGCGTAAAAGTTTAAATAAAAAGTCGCTGCGCGCAGAGTAAATGGTTTAATGTTTGACGAAGCGTGGGTCGTGCGCGCACAATATCTTATGAATGTCTTACCCTCAGTCGCCCTGGAAACATTAAAGTCCTTGAGTTTCTCTTTCTCCAGCTCAACGTGATCCTTGAACAGATGCACGGGGCAGTGGTTGGTGTCCGTTATGTCCTGCAGGTTGCTGTCCGGGCTGCCCAGCTCCCTCGCCCTCGTCAAGCCGCTCTCCAAAACTTCCCTGTACGTGATACTCTCTTTGGTGCTCTCTTTGCTTTTTTGATCGAACGATTTCGACACGAACGCCGTAAGTTCTTCCATGACGAACACGTCGACTTGTGGCGCGCTTCGGTCGTTGCCTCTTGTCCGCAGCGGTCCTTTCGGGTACACGGGGAAATCCACGGTGAACTTGAATAGAAACACCTCAAGAGCGAATGCGAGTCTCGGTCTGCGTCTTGAGCAGTCTTCGCCGTGTGCCAGGCTGTGCTGCGCGCTGAGCTGCTGCTTTTTTAGGGGAGAGAAAGAAAAGATGGAAGGGGTGGAGAGGAGGTGAGATCACTCCTGCTGTTGTGACTGTGTATTTGAGAGCACACTATTTATACACGGCCACCTCGCAGCCCCCTCCCCTCCGCTTTCTCCTATCTCTGCGTCTTGTGCAATTACAGGCCGCCTCGACTTTGCAGAATTCAACTTTCACCAGTCTTTTTCTTCTTCTTCGTTCCTCAGAAATCAATGATGGAGCTGATGGAGGCGGTTAATTGAATTACGAGGTCATTAAAATGCCTCCACTGTGGCTCGCGCGCTCGTCCTGTGAGAAGACCGTGCGTCTGTTACTTCTAATTAATTCTGCCCAAATGTAATTAATGCGATTAGAGCCACTGATATACACAGCTTTTTTATTGTTGCGCTTTCAAGAAAGATTTATAATAACCAGACAACAGCAATATCCACACAATCTATAGAAAATTAGAAAAGTAAAAAACATACAGCAACTATAAGTATGCGTTTTAATTTAGAATCTTACTAAATTGTGTGCAACATTTTTACACTCTTGAAACATTAAACTACATAGAATACATCTAGAAAATAACAGTAAAAACGTGTGTTTACGCTGCGTAACAATGACATTTTGCATGCAACACAATCCGAGGCTGGTAATTTTATAAAGGTGGAAATAAATAAAAACATTTGTGTATTAAAAAAATAATAAATACAATAAAACATCATTTCTCTAGTATAGGCCTATCTGTAAAATGTGTCATACACGAATAAATATATTTAAGGACCACTACCCATTCTACCTGTTCTAAAGGGTAACATGCACTATTACTGTAGCCGATTAGATGACATAAAAGCACTGATTGAATCAAATAATTCATGTTAAGATTCCAAATCAAATGGACTGGTGGTGTGACTTCTCCATTTACAACATTTTATTGCTGTAAGTGAGCTTCATCAAGAGTGCTATAAGCCCGGCGCGTGAGCACAGAAGGCCGGTGTGAGCGTGTCCCCAGGGTGCTGCCTGCGCCCCGAGCGGCCCACCGCCACCGCTGCTGCCGCTGCGCGCTGAACGCCTCATATCTCAGCGCTTTAATGACTCGCTCTGATGTCGCTCCATTTATCAACGAGGCCCTGCCGCACGCACGCACCACGCACGCTCATAGACAGACGCGCCTTGTGCCATGAACTGCTCCTTTTGTCGCTTAATGGACGCAAATCCGCTTAAAGACACCAAGCTCGCGTGCGCCGACGAGACTCAACAATAAGACGCCTGCAAACAAATCAGTCCTATTATACCAGAAAGAAACATCGAGATCTTCCAAAACATTAGTAATTATTTAATAGATTTTGAACGCACGAGAGTTTTTGAGCTAAACGTAAATATTGGCGATGTTAGGCTATAACGTGTTTTAAAGGGGTGCAAATGTAAATTAAATATAGTATAGGCCACACCTAATATATACCTATTTAATTTGTTACTTTTCGTCGAATCTCACTAATAATTACAAAAAAATCTGAGTAGCATATAATGCATTTGATAGGTTTACTTTGCACATTCAGTCTATTTTCGTGTGTCCAATCAGCCGGTGAAGGAACCGTAAATACTGGAGGGGTGTTTAGCTCTACTCTCTGTCACTTATTGTTGAGCTGGAGAAAAAAAAAATCTCTTAAAGGGCCCTCAATTTTTTTTTCACTTGGCGTTCGTTACGACACGCCCCCTAATCCTGCGCCACAAATAATGCCTCCCATAATGCATTAATTATGCACAACAGTCACATTATTGAGCTGCATTGTGTTATGCTTAATTTAAATTGTATTTTTATTGCACTTTTGCTTATATAATTTGCTAGGGAGTGGGAATTTATTTATTTTATGACATAAAAACAAAAAAACAAGCACAACAATTAAGTAAAGTATAACTAGAGATTCATACCATTTTATAGACTATATTCAAATAATTTTATATATTTTTCCCCCTAAAAAATATGTTCTAAAAACAAGTAAACTGTGCTTTCTGCTTATGTGCAAAATGTAAAAACTGTGTTAAATAGGCCATCCCCTGAGGTCTAACCACTTGTGTCCACTGTGTCCAGCACTGAGGAATCCCTTCTGTACCTGCATGTGAAAGCTGTGTGGCATTATCAAGACATCAGCGTGCTTAAATGAGCCTGCCCCACCAGAACACGAGCATAGACACAGCACAGAGAGGAGAGGGAGGGGCGGAGGCTGGGAGGTTGTGGGGAGCGCTCTGCAGCAAGGAAAGACCTCTGGAGCTCACTACACATGTACTCATCCAAGGCCTAACGTAAGAGTCAAAGTTATATTTTTAAACACTAGACATGTTCCAAATTTTAAAGAGAGGCCATAAATGTACATTAAGCTATTGGACTTTTGCCTGGATTTTGTTCAGCTGCCAGTACTAAAGATAACTTTGTAATGTGAAAATAATTTCTGATTTATGAATTCATTAAGATATACTTAAGAATGGAAATACTAAATGGACTGTGCAAGACCTTTCTCTTCCAATGTATACACATTTATGGCAGATGTGATTATCTAAATGTTATACCAGGTCCTAAGGGTTAAATATATGTTAATATATGTTTCAAAAATATCTCAAAAAACAAGCATCCATTCTATGTAAGCTTATAATAACATTTCTATAAAGCAAAATAAAGCATATTTTTCCACTATGTTCAAATATCATTGCATAGCACTGTGGGGACCAAGATCCACAGTGAAATGCAATAAAGCCATACACTTGAATTTGATTGTGTGATGCTGCGCTGCTGTACAGATGTGATCCAATTGAATTCTTCCAGTGGTAAAAGAAAGTGTGCGTGCAGGGAGCTTTTCTGATAGTTGTGTTAATGAGAATGATTGTGTTTGTTTAGCACAGTCCCCTGGCTTGTCTGCAGGGCTCTGGGATCTCGTGGTTGTTACTGTCTGGTGCCTTCATTTGGGCCCTTTTCTCTTGCGTTGCAGCAGTCCACAGAGACTACAGCCTGCTCTCTCTTTCTAAAATGCATCGTCTGCCATCCAAATGAGGCTTTCGGGGCAAAGGATGAGAAAAAAAAAATGAAAATACCAGAATGTGTTGAACATTACCTCACACTCAACTGGGATGTTTTGGGAATATGTTTTTTTTTTTTGGATTGTTATTTTTCCTTGTGTATTCTCTAACTGCTGTCTTCCCACAGGGCACCAAGGCCTCCACTTAAGAAAAAAGAAACAAAAAGCATGAAATTGACATTATGTTCCCAAATGCAGAGCAGATTTGCAAGGGAAACCTAGTAATGCTTGGAAAATCAAACACTCTTAATGCAATTCGCTCTTCCCTTATTAATTACCATGTTAAAACAACTTCATTTTACTGAGGACAAAGAAAATATAAGCATTTTACCAGCCCCCTTATAGGCACTACATGCGTTCTTACTTATGGATGTGTCCCCCGGGGGAGATGCAACAATTTACACAAATCAATAGTGTTCAAATAATTCATGACTGATCACATGGTATTTTAGCTCCCTATACTGGCAGTAGAAACTCGTGTTTTGCTTGGCTCCCAGAGGGCAACATGAAAGAGCAGGCGAAGAGGCGGAGAGAATTGGGAATGGAACTGGAAAAAGGAGCGCATGAGGATAATAGGAGGACATTGATCATTTGGCGCTCCAGAAGACGACCGAAACCTGCGCGTACAAGCTAACAAGATGCATCATTTATACATTATTTAGATGTGTCTGGGCCCATCACGGCGTTCTGTTACATCAGGTTTGCATCAGCGGCTTTGGAAGGGACAGCGAGGCCAGACCTGAAATGAAAAATCAGACTTTGCTATAATTTTCTTTGCAGCAAAAAATACAAAGAAGAAACCACGACTAGCAAAACACTTTTTTGCGTTTTGTTCATTTGAAGCGTTTGTGCTTTTCGGACTAAAGTAAATCCCCATTATGGTCAGTAGTTGGCTTGTAAGATATTCATTATATGCATATACATTTTTGCCAACAAATCATAGACTTTTCCCCCTCTAAAATATGCTTTGCTTTCATTTGTTCAAATTGCATATGTTACAGATTTATAGACCATTTATAATTAATTAAAGTTATTATAATATGTTTTCTAGACATTTATTGTCATCCAGCTACTGCATATTACACAGTTCTGTTTTGTCCATTATTGGTTAATATTAAAGTGATGGCATTCTAATTTGGTTAAAGAAATAGACTTTTTTTTTTTCATGTTGACTTCTTAACTCATAAGTAGACAAAATATAATCTGTCAGTGTATTATTTATAATAACAGTTACTTGCAGCAGTAATAAACACTTATGAATTATAGTTATGGTTATGGGTGATTTATGAGCTCGGATAGATCACTGCAAATGACTGAATTGTAATATCAATAGAATGTAGTACAATTATTAAACTAGATAAATGCAGAAGTGTTTTCTAATGATTAATATGAATGATCCTGAAGTATTGCACTTCAATTTTCTTTCACCCAAACCATGAATACTGTCAATTAAATTGTTTTGGCCTAAGTTTAAAACATGCTATCTACTTTACTATGAAGCAGTATCAGAAATTGTTAAATGATGTAGTTACTTATAATTTAATGAACTACTTAAATTTACTGTACTAACACAGACATTTATAATACTGCATTAAATTACTACTAGAGAATTGCCCATTCAAATAAACCACAACTAGAATCAACATCACAAGTTCTGCTTTGTCCATTTAAAGATATTGTGGGTGAATCAGCCTGTAATAGATATTAATTCTGTAAATGTGAAGATGGATCCAGTTCCCTCTTGGCAGGGGAACCATCCCACAGACATGTTAACAATGTCTTCGGAGACCAATAAGAACCATTTTACAATAAGTGTCTGCTTTAAGTCACTGCTTTTGTGTGTTGCGCTGGTCCTGCCACAGTGGGCTGTAAGGGGGTCCCTCTGGTGTGGCCATTTGAGTCAGGCTGCCTTTTATAAAGCCATGTTACACTTTCTCAATCACACAATTAAAGCTTAGAGACAGACTTTTCCTCTTG